CATCGGCTCTCGCGTCGAGGCTGGTCGTCCCTCGAGCGATCGCGATAAGGTAATTAGGGCCGGGATGCGCCCGGCTGGCGCCTACTAGAGAGAATAAAGTCGTGAAAGGGACGACGTAGTCGACTTAGCCGCGTATCGCGAGGAGCCTCGCGAGGTAGACGGATCCTCGACTACGGATCCGGCTGCCGATTAATTCCGCGAGCAGCGAGACTCAAAGCCCCGCATCGGTTGTTTTTGTTAAATAGAGAGTAGAATCGCGAAGTATGTTGTAATTTATTTCTTCTTCCTCTGATTCCTTTACCTTCTCCTCACATGTCGCGCGACGAGACTTCGCGCCGCGGAATAAGAACCACGCCACTCTACCTAGTCAGATTAATTTTTTTGAGCTGCCGGCCGTCGCCGCCGTAGCGGAAACGAAGATTTGGCCTTGTTCTTCTCGCGGAGAGAACAGCGGTCACAACATTTTCTATCTCTCTGTCACATCCCCGCACGGCGATCGAGTATAAAAATTGTTATTGTCTAGTCGTGGAGGAGGAAGGGGAGGAGGAGGAGGAGGATATATAAATAGATGATCAGTGCGCATGCGTGTGATTTTTATCAAATGTGTTTCATTCGTCAATCACGCACGATTGGAGTGTCGAATCTCGATCGCAAGATATCGCTGATATCTAATTCGACGATGGCAATTCGTAAGCATGGCGATCTGTTGCCCAATTCTATTCGTTGTATCATATGCTGACCGTCCAATTGCGGAAAAACGAATGTTCTGATTAGTCTTCTAGAGAGTCCGTAGGGAGTGCGATTTGAGAATCTATACGTATACTCGAAATCATTGCATCAGTTGAAGTATCAATATCTCAAGGAATTGCTCGACGCGATAGACGAAATCGGATATTACGAGTTCTCCAATAGTAAGGATGTTATACCGCCGAACGAGACCTTTCCGAATTCGATCGTTGTATTCGACGATATTATCTGCGACAAACAGGAGCCAATTAGAGAATATTTCGCCATGGGACGACACTGCGACATCGACTGCTTTTATTTCAGTCAAACGTACGCCAAAATACCCAAACATTTAGTGCGCGACAATGCGAATTTGTTGCTGCTGTTTAAGCAGGACGATACCAATCTGTGACACATCTACAACGATCACGTGAACACCGATATGTCGTACGAAGATTTTCACACTCTGTGTCGCGAGTGTTGGCGACGCAAACACGGTTTCCTAACGATAGATAAAGACTGCGCGTTACAGAACGGTCGATACAGACGCGGTTTCAACGATTTCGTGATGCTTTGAAAAAAAAAGAATAAAATCAGTCTCGCCGTAACCTCTTCAGTCGACGACGACGACGACGACGAGTACGATGAACGAGCGTTATCGAATCGTAGGAAAAAACTGCGAGACAAATCGCGAAAACGCGGGATTCGATTCGTCGAAAACACAGGATCCTGAAAACCGGTGCGACGGAGAGTGAAATTGCGTTGAAGAAACAATTCAAGCCTATCGTCGAATCTCTAAAACAGATCGCAAAATAAACGGTAGAATCATCGAGAATCGATAGAGGACCGATGTTTCTCGGTAAGAGAAAATTCGAGGGAAAGCACTACAAGGACGAGTACGACAACGTCGCAACAGCAATCACCGATTATTCCTTAAAATCTGCTGATTTACCGTCAGCAGCAGCAGCAGTGGCGAAGGAGCACCATGCACGGTGTGGAGGAAGACATATTTTTCGAGACTAGAGACGACAGCCTCGATCGCGTGTTTGTTACACCGGAGAGTTCGCCGTCGAGGATCTTCGGGTAGCAAATATGTGAATCCTTTTCTCGGGGGCGATTCGGGTCGCGAGTTGGATCACGTTTATGGAGTGTACATGAACGACAAGGGTGTTATGATGCTGGAAAACAAAACTTTTCTCGTTAACGCAGATGACTCTGTGACTATAGGCGATGTGACGCACACAGGCACGCCCGGACTGTACGAATTGATATTCAAGAGAATGCCCGACGAATTGATTTTCACGAACAACGATCTGAAAACATACATAAAAATATTGATGACAACGTCCGCGCATAAACGCAATCATCGAGCCGCCAATCCTGCAATGGGAAACAAAGATTACAAATGGAGTCATATCATCGCTCCGTTTATAAAACGATCGCGAACACAATCAGCGAGTAACGCGGCGGCAGCTGCGATGCCGGTGACGATGACGGGCACTGGCGTCGCGCTACTATTGGCGCCGCCTCCACCACCACCTTCGAGGATGACATTAACAGATAACAAAGTGGATTATGTGCATTGGAACGACGCCAATGAATTGGTGAATCGTCTTCAGTTGCTCGACTCGTCGCGTCGAGCTGGCAACAATGCGCATGATAACGAAATTATCTCAATATTAGAGGAGCTTCGCGAGGCCGGAATAATAGTAAATTAATAATTTTGTTTGTCAAATAACGCTCGATAGAATTATATTTTACGGCGGCGCGCGCAATGGCGGTCAATAAACTTGGAATGTCATTGAGAAGGCGTTACAACGACTACGATTATGCGGAACAGTCGCGATTGCCAATCGAACTGTTGAAAAATTTCGTGCGCGAATTCGCGTTGTTATCCTCGACGAATATGAATGGTGAAAAGGAGAGAATTTACGATGCAAAATCTCGCAGAATTCGTAATCTAGGCGAGCCGAGAGACGATTCCGACGCCGCCTCTATGTCACGAGCACCGTTCGCGCTGTCAAGAACGAAATCGAGACTATGATCGTCGATTCGTTCAAGATTTTTGCGCACAAAATCATCGAGAAGATAACGAGAAGATAATCGCTCGATGCAGAATCGAGGCACAAGATAAAGAAGGCGCATCAAGACATTGTCCAAAAAATATCGATACTATTGAGAGAAAAAATCGACACATATCAGCAAGAGATACGCAATTTTTTGCAGGAAAAGGTAAGAAATAACCATATTCGAGAATTGAGGAACATCGACGCAAAAATCGCAAGCCTGACGGCGAAAGACGATTCGACGCAGAAGGAATCGGATAAAATGAATGAAGATATAAAAACATTGAAGAGCGTTATGGGTCACTTAGTGTTGGGTATGAATTATTTAGTGGGACAAAAAAAATTAGAAGTGTGGAAAAATGAAAACTCGCAGAGGACTTGCACGTGCCCGCTTGAAGAAACTTTCTGCGACGTCGTGTCGTAGTGCGCGGTTACGACGATCTGTGGCAAACCGATGTGGTGGAGATGCGTTTCTATGGTTTACAGAACAAAGGGCACAATTACATTTTGACCGTGATCGACGTATTGAGCAAACACGCGTGGACGATACCGTTCAAGAACAAGAACGGAGCGGAAGTAGCCGCGAAGTTGTCGGAGCTCGTGCGCGGCAAACGATGTCCGAGAAATTTGCAAACGGACGAAGGGAAGGAATTCTACAACGCTGATGTACGAAAAGTGCTCACGAGACACGGTATAAATCAGTATTTGACCTATTCGGTGATGAAAGCGTCCGTGGTGGAAAGATTCAATCGGACTTTAAAGAATAATATGTGGAAATTATTTACGGTCAACGGATCGTGCAGATAGATTGATGCGTTACCACAACTGCTATCGGATTACAACACTCGTAGACATCGCACGATCGACATGCAACCAATCGATGTGAAGCGAAAAAACGCTCGGGTTCTTGTGACTACGGTTTACAGTAACGCAAAAATAGTTCCTCTCGGAAAATTTAAGATCGACGATCCCGTGCGTGTAATCAGATTCAAAACGGTGTTTGAGAAAGGTCACACGTCCAATTAATCCACGGAAACCTTCAAGGTTAAGGTACAACGAACGAATCCGATGACATATTTGCTACAAGATTCTCGAGAAAACGCGATAGAGGGAGGATTCTACAAGTACGAGTTGCAGCGAGCCGCTCATCCCGACGTTTCTCGTGGAAAAAGTTTTGCGCAGATGCAGCGATCGCGTATACGTGAAGTGGCTGGGTTTCGATAAATCGCACAATTCCTGGATTCACAAGTCGAACGTCTTGTGATCCATCGATTTCCTCTCCTTCCCCTCCGTTTCTGTCGCGTCCCGCGTAACCGTATGGACCTTCATTCGCGTCGTAATCATCGGTGTGAGAGGAGGAGAAGGAGGAAGAGGAAGAGAAAGTATTACGACCGCGATAATAATGACAAGGACACTTGTCTCTGTCGTTATCGCCAGTGTTGTGGTCGCGTTTCACATTGCCGCAGCCATCACCGCCGCCACCAGAAGTGTGGACGGAATACCGCGACACCGCGACCTTTTGACGATTACGACGATGACGACGTCGAGTTGGCGATTCGATATCTGCAAAAATACGCTTATCTGCAAGAAAACGTGTTTGATTCGATCACGGCCGACAATGCGGAGGAAAGGAAGATTGAGATGGAGGAACTTCTACGACAAGCACTCGCTCTATATCAAGAAATGTGTCGAATCGTAGGCAAGGGGGAACTGAACAACATTAAGCTAGATCTAATGAAAAAGCCTCGATGCGGTCTCAAAGATATCTCTAGCGAAACGGTGAACTCGCCGACACCGACGTGGCCGACGAGATTTATTACGTGGAATTTTCATCTGGCCAGCGAGACCATTTTGAAGACGATGAGAGTTGCTTTCGACACGTGGGCCAGGAACTCGTCGTTGATATTCGAATGCAATATTTCGCATCCTAACATCCTGCTGTCGTTTCGCGAAGGTTCTCATGTGTTTGTGCGACTGAACGGTGCCACCTGTCCCATATCGCTGGACGGACGCGGCGGCGTGCTCGCTCACGCAAATTATCCCACCGGAAGTGCCAATCACGTCTCAGAGATGCATATCGACAGAGCGGAATCGTGACACATAAAGATCAATAAGAATCCCTCAGAGAGATACAGTCTGTTGTACATATTGATATACGAGATTGGCCACGCCTTAGGATTACCACACAGCGAACGCAAAGATTCGATGATGTACGCGTTCGCACCAGAACGACTTATTTTTCCGATCGGACTCAATCTAGAGGATACGCTCAACATTCAACAATTGTACGGTGGAACATTGGCAGCGACGACTACGCGGCCGTCGTCAGTGACGACCCCTGCCACGAGAGAAAATGACGACAACGACGACGACAACGACGAGGCAGATGTGTGCGCCCTGCGTCGCATAAATGTCCTAGTGATAATCAACAAACAAATATTTATCGCCAGTGGTCGTCGCGTGTGGTCGATCGATATGAATGGCAAATCCTATCAGAAATCGATACTGATCAAGGGATATTTGAAATTTCTTTTGGAAAATTTGACTACTTTTTCGGCAGCTTATCAAAAACCTTCGGGGTATATCGTTCTGTTCGCCGATAATAGGGTATACACGACCGAATTTTCCAATCAAAGATTGATAGAGTAGCGGTCGTTCACCGATTTCGGACTGCCGACAAACGCGAAGATCAAGGCGGCGATAAACACTTACAGAGGACAGAGTTTCGTTATCTATAACGTAGTGGGCGAAATCGACGATTGCGCCACCACCAGAATCGTCAGACATAATCTTCAGACGATATTTCCCGGATTACCTCAGGATATCTCCTCGGCCTTTCGTTACGTCGACGGTCATCTGTACTTCTTCGGCAAGAAACAATACAACCGATACAACGAATTCAACGAAAGCATCGTATAGGCAGGAGCTTTGATTTCCAAACGATCGGAATAAGTTGTCCAAAGGAGGAACTGTTGCAACAATTACGCGATCTCTTGCAACGAATCGTGTGGCTGACCGATGACAGTGGTGGATTCAACGACGGCGATCTCACTGCGCGATCTCATCGTCGCCGCAACGATGCAGTTTCTTTGGACACACGAATCCAGATTGAATGACATTTTTTTTCTTCTGTAAAAACTTTTATGTTACATTTTCTTCTTATATATTATATAATATGTATAGCATGTTTCAAATATATGTTTCTTTTTTGCTAAAATTTTTCAGATGACTCCTGAAAAAAACAAACATAATTTCATTTTTTTTCCTTTTATTCTCTCCCTCTCTCAATGTATACATATTTTTAATCGTGTCGTCGATCGATTTCTTGCTCGTCTGCCGCCGCCGCCTCCGTTGCATAATGTCCTCACGGCAGAGTTTCGTGTGATTCTCCAGGTATGACGTAACGCTTATCGTCGTACGGACTCAACGCTAGCTTCAGCTCCGATATCGTGTAAACATTGTGGAGCATCGAACGCACGGCGGACTGACGCTTCGTCTGTTCTTTCGCATCCACTAGACACTCGACGTAATCGGGGAAAGTTATCTCGCGCGCGACCACATTCTTCTTGATGCCCTTGATTCTCTTCGTGTTATCCTGATCTTTCACTCGATACGCGTACATCTTCGATTTCAGGCCCAAGAATTCGGTCATAATCGCGCCATTGTTCTCGTCCTTTATCAATCCTGGCACTCTTTTGTTCTCGCGCGGCATATCGTGCGCATTGCCGGGAGGATATTCGCTCGTATCGAATCTCGCGATATCGCGTCTTATGAGCTCATAAGCGTTCTCGCACTCGAGATAATACACAAGATTGTCGGTGTCTGTGTACATGATGCTGCACTTGTCGCCGTGCAACGGTTTCATATAATCGTAATGAAATTCGTAGAGACGCGTTTTCGATATCTCGAGCATGCACATGCCAATGTACACAGGTTTCATTATCTTGGCCTCGAGTTTGCGCAATTCCACGGCCATGAGGTCTTCCGAGAAAATGCTTCTGCTGTGAAAATTCGGTTTCGCGATCATCGCCTCGGCCCCGTATCTACCGTTCCAATGAGTCACCAATCGAACATCCACGTGCTCGCGCACGTTCTCCATCGTCTTACCAAACACGGCGTTGTTCATGAGCTTGTACATATTGTTATAATCACGAACAGTATTAGCGCAGTCGAAACATTTCATGAAGAACCGTTTCGATTGCGCTACAACAAGGAAGCGGATGTGCAAATGCTGCGCTAAGCACCACCTCGCACATTCCGCATTTCGGACCTCGAGTTGAAACGCACCAAATTATTACCAAATATAGTAATCTCCTTGTCGCCAGGCACCCCCTCCGACAAGAATAAACAATATTATAAAAGAGCGAAGAAGACCGCCGGCGACAGCTTTTAATACCTCGGTCTCTCGCCTGCGACGTGCGTACCTGTCGCACCTCCCGCGTGTAACTCTAAGTTTCGGGAGTTAATAAATAAACTAAATACTTTTTATAATCAAGACTATTTTATTTCACTAACGACAGCCGTTGGCTGTCCCACCGCCACACACCCTGCCGCGCCCGTGACATCGATCTCGAATCTCTTTCTTCCTCGCGCCCCAGCTACACGGGGCACGACAATATTTTTCTCGAATTCGTTCGACGCGTTCTTCCGGAAGCCTGTATTGAGCTCGATGTAACCGCGAAGCCACGGAGACTGCGAGAATTGTAAGACGCGATGAGTCTTCGTCAAACGAATTCCCTTCCTTACGAACTGCTGCAGATTACGATAGTGAATCACGTAGCGGCTCTTGTCGCGCAGAGTGGCGAACAATTTTTTACTTTTTGTTTTTTTCTCCTTTCTGATGCACGGAAGTATCTCGTGCACGGGGCAAAACGGCAAATCCGCGTGAGAATCGTGCAAATCGCACGGATAGATGAGATCGAGCTCGAGAACGTAGTCTCACCGTCAATCGGCACGGACATCACATCAAAACTCTCGACATCACTCTCGACCCATTCGAAATTTGCGTACGGCAACGGTTCGCACATCGCCCAACCGTACAAATTGTTCACGTCGTAATACATAAGCCATCGGTTTCGTCGAATCGTATTTGGGCGCGAACACATTGTTAGCTCTCGCATACCTGCTCGAACATCGACGCGAACAGATCCGCCGTGCACGCCCGTGTACTTCAGCATCGCGTCCCACGCGTAGCCGGGCAGTGTGTAATAATATGCGGGATCCAATTTGTAACTCTCGACGCATTTGTCGCGAAAATTTTCAAACACCTCCACCAGAAGCAAAACATCCGTCTTGAGATAGAGATCGCTGTATTGACCGAAATCGCTGATGCGAAAGCGATTCCAGACCTCTCGCGCGTGTTCGTAATCGCTAACGGACACGGTCTCACCCGTCAACAAGCTGTAGAAATCCTTGCGCAGTGGCAAGATGATATCCCACAGTTTAAACGGACTATTCACGTATTCATAGGGGAAGACTCCCTTACATATGAGAAGCGCAAAATCCGTGTCGCTGAGATCCGCGAATTCCGAACGCATGATCGTCATTCGGTCGCGCTTGAGATACGCGACCAATTTCTCCAGGCTCTCGCCGAGAAACTTGTACGAATCGACAAAACGTATTTTCATCACATTCTGTCACTTGCTCCCCTCCGACGTAAGCGGAACGTTTTTCGTAAACGATATATACGTTTCCTTAGTCATCGGTTGCAACTCCACTCTACTCTCAAAAGCGTTCGCGATACGCTCGATTATGAAATGCGCGTCGTAACCCGACAGATTGTGAAAGAACACCGGAATCACAAATGTGTTCCTAAAATTTAAATTGCACGTCGCGTGCGCGGGACCTCTATAACGCCCGGTAAGATGACAATGATCGCGCACATGTACATCGTCGAGTCGAAAGGGTTGATCGCATATGTGACATCGCGTAGCCGCATAATGTTCGCGCCGTTCCGTATGGGTGAGCTCACGCATTGCTCTGTCGGCGTTCAGCAGCGTTCGCACTCTCACGGTGAATTTCCTCAGTTCTTCGACGAACTTTGACACACAATCTTTATATGACGCGACCTGTACACGGATTCGAATCCTCGAATATCGGAAGCGCAACGTATGTAGAATCTCACGCTGTGCACGTGATGATACTGATAAGGGTAAGCTCTGGCGGTCTCGTCGTACGACTGCTTCTCCAGAATGCATTCCATATCAACGAAAGGCAATTTTTCCTTTCTGTTGCGATCATGGAAGAGCAATCACTTGTCCTTGTCATCGAGAAGAACAACGGCACAGTCGTTTATTTTTTCACCATCGACCTCATGACGTGACAATTTTTCCTCCGAGGGAAAATAATGCAGGCAACTGAAAGAGGGAAAAGATTTTTTTTTACATTAGCAAAAAAATTTTTTTATTTTTTTCGTAAAAAGGAACGACTTACCGTTCGCAAATGTATTTCTTTCTTCCAATCTTGTTGAGCTGACCACCCAACAATTTCGACAGATGCTTTATTAATACATTGTGTCCAATATCATTGTGCTGCTGCTGCTGCTGCTGCTGCTGCTGCTGGTTGTGTATATAAAGCAAATTAACGTGTCTGATTTGTTTGCTGTCGGTGAGACGCAACGGCATGATCCTGTTTCTCCCTCGCCTCTATTGTTGTTCCTTCTCGGTGAACACGTTAACCGATATCTGATTCAGACGCTCGAATCTCGTTATATGCTTGAGATCCATCGAAAAATGGATCCTTTTGGACACTTTTGTCGCCGCGCCCGCTCACGGAATCGTACAGAGCGGCCATCACCGCCCAAGCAAAACACGCCTTATCCGACGAATGCACATTCTTCGTACTTTTCTTGTCCTTGATCTATTTGGGGAATATGGCCCAACAACCAGCGTGAAAGGGATTACATTTGTTGATGTTCACTACGAGATTCGATATCCGTGACAGAGCCCAGCCGCTGTCGCGTTCCTGAAATTCTTCCAAAAAGTTCAAAATCTTTTCGTTCACACTTCCGTCGTATCACTCCGCTAAATCGGTGGTTAGCAAAATGTTTCTCGTGGCAACGCTCTTGTACTCGATCTTCGTCTGCGACACGAATTCTCCGGTGAATACAACATTGACCTTGAGACAATCGTGCCTGGCGAGATTCTGCCCCACCTGCTCGAGCACTATGCCGCGCACATCGTTCAGAAAAGTTCTCGACTCGATAATTACACCCGTCGAAACTCTCCGCCTGAAAGCTGTCTCGATTTCCAACCATTCTAACAGATTACGAGTAACGTCGACGACGACGACGATTGCAACGGCTGCGACGTACTCTGTCCCGCTCCCACCAACGATCTCGGTAAGATGATTTCTCGCAATCGCTTTCTCGCTTCTTCCATCGCGCGATAGAGGCAATCGCGGAGTATACAGTTCCCGTTTTTGTCTTTCCTCCTCTTCCTCTTGTACCGCCTGCACAGATCTCATGCAGACGTTTCATTCTTCTCGAGCATTCTCCATCCTAGATGTTGAATTTGGCGATCGTATTGGGGAGCGGTGCACTTGGACACGGTGCATTTGGACACAGCCAATCACAGCACCGTGTGATTAGAGACATTTGTAGGGTCCCTTGGAACAGCGACTTGTGATTGGACTGTGTCCAATTGCTCCGTGTCCAGCTGATATACACCCATCGTATGACGTAATTCGCAACACATAACAAATGCTCGACATTGGTCGTTTTCGTCGACATCGTCGTCGTTTATCTCTTCTCTCTCACGCGTTATGTCGCGACGAGGATGTAGCCACAAAGTCCGTCCCCGACTATCGAAGGGAATCCGAAATTTTACTCTCTTCCGGTATATTCGCGGACTTCGTCTGATATAATTTTTCGCTTTTGTACTACCGTGAATTATCGTTTCCAGCCACATTCTCTCGAACAC